GGTATGTCTTGAGGATCCTTCGTATTCGTCGTCATTTGTAACAGTGAAATGGGTGCCACACCGCCAAAGCACTTACCAAGTCTCTTGGCCCAGGGTCTCTTGGCCCTGGAGGCTGTTCTGCTTCATAAGCAGCAGTCGCCTTTTAGACAGTGTTTCTCCTGGTGTCTTGAGGTTGGGGGGGGGCGGGGCTGAACACGGTGTTTGTTTTAGGACAACAGGCACTGTGCTCAGCACTGCTCCAGGCAGAGTATTATATTCCTCACAGAATACCGGCAGTTGACTCCAATGCGCAAAGGGCAGCTAAGCCCCCGTACAGACATCACATGATGATTGCATTAATATAATCTGCAAATGCTATTAATAGAATCTGGAAATATGATTTGGGGGACTTTCCCCTGTTATTAAACTCTGGACTGAGAAAGTCTTTCACATCAGTGGACACCCCTCTACCGTTTAGTAAGATAATTTCTCACTCAGCAGGCTGAGGGCTGCGGACAAGACAAGACTGGTCATTGCTGACCAGCGTTGGGACTGCTCTGTGCTGACAGATTGCAGGGGACAGAATGACAGGCAGCAGAGCAGGAGCTTGGAAAAAGAGCTGCTGAGGGCATGAACGGATGCAGAGCTGCAGCAGGCACTGCGAGGCTGCCGGCTGCAACAAGTGCTGTGCCAAAAGCCAGCTGCCTGGCGTGGCATTGCACAAGAAGAGAAGGCATCCATCAGGATAAGCAATGGAGGTCCTTCTGTAGTGCTTTTCCAGCATGTTTAAAATGGTGAGTAAGTGCATGAAAAAGCTGGACCCTGTTTCCAAACTGCATCCGTCAAGTGAGGGAGTCCAAGAGACTGGAAACCAGAACTCACCTACTAGGTGTCCTGGTTATCAGTTGTCAGTTCTAGAGCTCTCCTCTTGTACTATTAAGTTTCATTCATTTCAGTAAGGGCACAACTTCTAAAGGAATGTGGGCTGTCTTCCCACCCAGCCTAATGCCTGACAGTACTTGGTGCATTCTCCTGGGAGATGCAGGCTTTAATTCCAGCGAGGATATAGAACACACTGACGGCAGGCCCTTCACCTTGTGAGCCACATGAATTTCACCACTACAGAAGTTACCTGTCATTTTCACTTTTAAAAATCTGAAGTCACTCTAAGGGCATCTGCAAGGAACCCAATTTGAATAAGTTGCACATGATCTGCTTTGAGCACATTCACTCGATGTTCTCTGGGGACTTGCGCCTCATTCCCCCTCATTCCTGGATTTCAGCATGGGCAAAGCACCCAATTGCTCACATCAGGGCAGTTCAGAGCAAGCAAAGAAAAATGCTAGATGCTAGAGAATTTACAGAAGGTGGAAACAAAATGCCTACAGATTTTGCATACTTCCACATGCATAGGAAAAGAGATATTTTCTTTCAGTTGTCTTTTCGGATGTACATGCTTAAAGCCAGCCTACGTTCTGTTTGGAAGAGCCACATCATTATTTTAGTGTTGCTTCTTCTTTCTGAAGCCATCTATAATTCTGTGCATTAAACATGTTATTCACTGATTTCCCATTACTTATACAAGGAAAAATAGAGTCAGGAAGTGTGACTTCTGAATCTGGTTTTCATAAAGCCTACGAATACTTTGATGTAGTACCCGCTAGAAATTATTATAATTCCATATAGAAAAGGAGCATACTTTACCAAATAAATAAAATGAAGGATTTACTTAGAGACAATTTTTTAACAAATATGGACATTAAAAGTCTACATTATTCTGCTGCCGTTACTGTGTGACTGACTCTACAGCTGCAGTAGAATAGCACCTTGTATAGTGCAGAAGGCATGAAACTTCTTACACTGCCATCAGTCAAGGCTAGTCTTTGATATATGGTAATTTTATATTGTATCAAATATTACATTATTATAGTTAATATTAATTAATTAAAACTGAAAAAAAAAGTTAACCTATTTACAAGCATCATAAATTTGAGATTTTAGAATGTGTGTGTATATTTTGGGTCTAAGACACGATACCCAAGAACTCGCCTGTTTTTTACCCACTCAGATATTTTGTGAAACAACGTGGTTGCTATAAACCAGTTTGACCAGCTGTACATCAGGAACCGACCAGAGTCTGCTGGGGTTAGCCAAATTCAGCTAACCGGTGTGCAAGACACAGAACCAGAGAACGGTGTTTGGGTTGGGGGGGACCTTTAAAGATCGCCCAGTCCAACACGGGGCAGGGCAGCAAATGCATCTGAACCTTTGCAAAGAGGATGCCTACACCCCAGGCGAGCTGCTCACTGTGGGAAGAGGCACTGGACCTCGTTTGCACGGATGCGGATTGGCGGGGAGAGAGGCACTCCCTTCGGCAGTGTTTGTGCTGAGGGGAGAAAAAAACGTAAAAAACCTTGGTTGCACAGACATTTGTTTTTTTCCTTCACAACATTTTTCTTCTTTTCACAGTTCATGAGATTCTGGCAGTAGTAAAACCACATATCAGAAGTGGCCCAGCTGCATTTTTTACGCCGCGCAGGGCTCACCACACATCTTCACAGCTCCCGTGGTCTGGCGGCACAGGAACGGCCCAGCTCAGTGCTTAACAGTGAGTTTTACTGCAAACCTCCCCCTCTCTTTCACCTTCAGGGCTAAGCTCCTTTATTCTTCACTGGTAGCAAGTGCAGATGCACCCCCCTGTTAACCCACAGCGTGATCAGAAACTCCTAACTCAAGGGTGCCCACAAAAGGATATGCTGAGGGCTAGGGACTGTATATTAATTTCTGGGGAAAGACAGGAATAGAGAGGGAAGGGTTTTTTCCCCTGTGGTATTTTGCCACTTCATCACAGTAATCTCCATCCCTGCATTTTCAGAGACATTGTTGATTTCGGAGGTTGCAGTGCTCAGAGCTTCATTCCCCGGGGAATGTAAACACTGTATGATGGCAGCTTTAGGTAACAAAAACATGGCCTAATAGGCAAACTGGGCTGCCAGCCTCCAGAAGGGAAACATGGACACAGCCTGGAGAACTACTGCTGCAGCTGTACTGCGCCTTCATTACACAGTCAAGAGCAGTTCGTCTATTTGACTCTTTTATTGCTCTGCTCCTGTCTGTTCTTGCTCAGTGTTTATTTCACTCATTTCCTAGACCTTCTTGCCCAAAGGGCCCCGAGTAACTTACGGTGCATCGGCTGTGGGGTAACTGTGAATGCAGAACATGAGGGTGCTTTACACTCAGTTATATGGCGAATGGCTAATGGGTTTTTTTCCTTTTCGTGGGCCACAAAGCACATTGCAAACGTTAATTTGTTAAACCTCATGCAGAACCCCTCTGAGGAAGACGTTATGTATGTTAAATCAGCAAATTAGCAGTAATGTCTCCCTATCAGCCAGTGGCAAGTTTTAATTAATCTCCCACAGACTAAAAACCATCCTGGTTTATGTTTAACTGTGATTTCCATGATCTACACTCCCCTTTAGAAATGAACCTTTCTTCATTTCTCAGAATACGGAGATCTGCACCTCAGATTGTTAAGATTTACCTACCATACAGCAGCATGCGAGGAAGAAAACACATTTCTTGGAAGCTCATGGCTACAGTTTTCCACCTCAGTAACTTCAATGGTGTGCTTTAGACCATTTTCCTTCTATTCCTTGAGACTGAAATCACTTGATTTATCCCCATATTAAAGGCAGCCGCCTTTACTATGTAAATAATTAACCCTCTTTAAAAATCTGTGTTTTCGTACCCTGTTCCTGCAGACTCCGTGCATACAAAATTCTCTTTGGAGTCATTTGAGAACTTAGGAAGGGCTTCGTGGTTGTCCAGAGGTGTGTTGGTGCCTCCATCCTTGGAGGTATCCAAAAGCCGTCTAGACATGGTATGGTGCAACTGGCTGGAGGTGTCGCTGCTTGAGCATGGGGAGGTGGACCAGATGACCTCAACTGTTCTGTGAGCTTTTATTTCAAAAATTAATGCAGGAAAAGCCCAATTCAAAGAGGGCCCAAATCCTGCCCTCCTGTATACATAATTACTGTTATAATCAACTCCCTTCCTGGAGTTGTCCATGAGGGCAGAATCCTTATCCATGAGTGAATGTTCCTGCTGTTATTATCATGAAAACTAGTGCTACTAATAAAAACTCACACAAAAAGATCCAGGGCTCATGAAAGCCACATCATTCTTCCAATTGGTAAGACAACACTTTAGATGTAGGCATACCTCTAAATAAATAAATGAAGCCAAAGCTGCCTCTAGCATAAGCTTTTTATATAATGCAGAATGACACAAAGGCAGGTTCAGTACACATCACCAGGGAGAAAGTGGTACAGTTGTCAGTAAATAGATATATTTAGTCGTAAATAAGTATCTCCTACTTGGCAGCTGCTACAGGAAAGCGAATTATCATGGCCAGGTCCCCACTGTGGAAAGGATTTGCCACAGCTACAGAACACAGATAAGGAAAAAAGCATCTCTAAAGCACCTCTTTGCTGACCAGGACCCAGCTGGCCAGGAATCAAAAAACACAAAGCAGGAGCTACGCTGTGTTTACTGTTGGAATCAAAAAATACATAGCAGGGGCTACTCTGTTTTCACTGGCAGTTACTGAAAATTGCTGCAGGCAGTTCTCCTCAGACAGCACCTCTGCAAGCCCAGGAAGGTACTGTGTTATACTACATGGCTGGGCTGTTAAGTGTGCAGGCAGCTCTCCTCAGACAGCACCATGCCAATTCCACCTCTGCAAGCCCAGGAAGGTACTGTGTTATACTACATGGCTGGGCTGTTAAGTGAAGTTAAAGCAAAATTTACTCCAATTTTGGATTCTGGTCAGTATTTGCCATTCAAGGAGCCTAGTGGCAGAGCATCCAGTTGATGTGCTCTCAGCATAACTGCGTTCAGTGATTACTTTGAGATGCAAACTAGCTGTCAAAAGATTAAAAATGCATTGGGAAAAAAATAAATGCTATTTCTGATTTTCATCCAGGTTTCTCTCACAACGTTAAAGAATGGCCCTGATTTTAAGGTGAGCAGAGTTTGCCAAAGAAAAGAATAATATTGGTAGGATTGTGTCTAATAAAGAATAAGAAAGGGTGGTCAGCCATAAACACCTCTGTGAGAGGAAGAGACCTCCTCACAATGACAGCGCCTGTAGCAGCTGCTGCTACAGTGCCCTCTTCATTGACTTCCACATACGTCTTATGGACAACGTTTGACAGCTCCAGAGATTTTGCAAACGACATATCAGAAAGATCAGCTTTTGATTCAGTGAAGATGTCAGTCATCCCCATCTCCTGTAATACCTCATTGAGGTTAAAGGTGCCTTCAAGCTTGAATCGGGGGAGGTATACCTCTACTCTTGTCTCAAACATGTGCTCTGAAGAGGCCCACAGCATTAAGTTTTCATAGGTCATTGTGCTTTCAATCTAAAAGATGGGGAGAAAAGAGCTGCTTAAAATAGGTGGGCAACTTTGAAAAGTTTAGGTCTTTACCCAGCCTTAATTCAGACAACCAGCTTTCAGCCATATTCCTTGATATATCCTGCCTTACCTGCTCCAGCCCACTGGTAGATCCATCAGGCATGTCACCAGGCAGCAGGATGATCATGCTCAGTGACTTCTGAGCATAAGGGAGTTCAAGGACCTGAGCACCCATCTCCTCAATGTAGCCTAATTTAAACATGCCTTTCTGATACATCATCTGGACAGTTGTTTTCTCATTCTGTTTAAAAGAAAATTATAAGGTCACTTAAGCAATACAACCCTTAACTTTTAAACTTATTACAGGTGCAGTGTCAGGAGTCTGAGTTTCAGCAGTAATTGTTGTTAGGCTAAACATTTTTCTTTATTTTGTTGCATCTACAGTGACACACAGAACATCAGCTTTGCCATGCATAAATAAAGGGGATAATTCTCTGGGAGGAAGGGGAGGGGGAACCCAAAAATCAAACCAAAACAAACAACAAACAATCAAACAAAGCAAACAAACCCAAAACAAAAAACTACGCAAAAACCAACCAAACAAATAAACCCCACCATTTCCTTGCAACTGATCAGGTGGTGAAGTTGTTCGTGTTACACTTTCAAATAGGCGGATGCAGGTTGGATTTGCAAGTCCTAACTTGGCCTGGGATAAAGAAGAAATAGCACTGCAAGAATCAGGCTGTCATTTATCAGACTGTTTGTTGAGACAGGAAGCAATAAACAGGATAAGAGCAAAATCATAGCCTTTCTCAGGCATGCTCTTCTAGGTCTTGTTATCTTGCCTTTTTTGCAATGGGGTTGTTTGAAAGCTGTGTAAAGATCCAAGTTTCCTTTTACAGTTAGCTAACTTCTAAAATAGTGAAAGAATAATTTTGGTAGATGACATATTTTCAGAAAAATGTCCTGCTAGTGCTGATGAGCACATGGAGAGGAATCTATACAGCTTCTCCCTAACTCACAGTTTCTCCTGCTGCAGCAGCGCACCAAATGTTCTCAGCGGTAGACCATTGTCAGTATCCATATTCAAAAATATATTTTAAAAGTCACAAATATAAGTACTCAGTATGACAGTTATAGATTCCCAG